AAGTGCTTTTAACTACATGGAGTCACCCAGTGGATACATTTTTATACATTTTTTTATGTTTTTTTCCTCATACTTTGGGTGGGCTAGGGCACTTCTAACACCATTACCACTTCTATAACCAGGGCCGGTGCAAGCATTTTTTGACTGCTCAGGCAAAGAAGCATTGTGCTCCCCTCCTTCCCAAAAAATGCAACTTAACCTGTGTGTCTCTTAACCCACCTTTTGAATTTCATGCTCCCTTTTTTTGTTTCTTATCCCATATTTTGAACACCTTTTTATGTATCCTACCCAGTTTTGTCTTTCATCCCCTTGTGTGTCTCTAACATTCCACCTTAAACCTATTTAATAAATCTATTTTCATCAATAATGGACTTATCCTCTTTTGGCCCTCATCCGCTTGAAAGGTTCCATCGATTAAGAAAGCCTAAAGAAATCTCTGCTCCCACAGACATTATTGTGCGGTTTGCAAATTACTATCTCAAAGATTTAATAATGAAAGGAATGAGGAATATAACCCTCAAAGATGAGATCTATGAGGTTGTTATCTTCTTCATAAATATTTCTGCAACTACTCTATCAGAAAGAACACGCTTTCAAGAAGTAACGACTGTACGAAGGCAAAAAAAGATCAATTATCAATGCAGATTCTCATTTAAACTCATAATACAGCACAAAGGCAAATCACAAATTTTTACCCATCTATCACAAGCAAAATATCAATTATCCATATGGGGCCTGACCACGTAATTTTTTCAAATTTTTCTTTGCTTTTTTCTTTCTATTCCCTTTCTGTTCTTCACTAGTTTTTAAGTTATAAAAAAGGAATATGCACAAAAAGATATGAGATGACGAAAGGTTATAATATCTAGCACGTAATAATTATAAATATTCTAGCAGTTTGCACTATGACTTAACACAAATTGAAAGAATTGGATGAATCAAAAGTTAAACACTCACATAAAGAGAGTATCACAATCTAATTACTAAATATACAATAGAAGGAGTAATAGGCATTTAAGGATTTTTATTGTTTCAATTTTAATTTTTTAAATTAGGTAAAATACAGGACACTATATCAAAATTAAATTTGCTAAAATCATAGATATAAACACTTTATATACTTAGAAGACAAGGAAGTTATTGGTCTATTTGGCTTAAATATTTGACGCAAAAGGAATTAAAGTAAACTAAGATAGGATTGGAAGATATGGTTAGAAATTCACATATGATGATGTTTTTGTTAGTTTTTTTGCTTTTGGGGAATGGAGGAGGTAAGGTGCCAGTAAACAAATAGTAAAGTTAATTAAAAAAAATAAAAACAAGGGAGCAAGGAGATTAATAGTTGATATGGTAATCAAAATTAAGCAGACAAAAAAAGAAAGAAAAAGGGGATAAGAAAAAAATGTTTAAAGATAAAATCACAGTTAGCCAGCCCCCTCAAAATGCAACCTAAGGTGGCACTAGGTCAAATTGGAAATGTTATTCCTGATAGGACAATAAGTTTTCTTTTTGAAGTATGAATGTAGAATGGAAGTAATTTTTTGTTATGTGTTATATATCTTCGGTAGGGGCTAGAGAATGAGTATACAAAATATGTTAGGACAAAAGGAGCGGAAAAGAAGTAATAAGTAATCAATGTCCAGGGTCTGAATATTCCCCAGAAAACAGACCATCTGTATCATTCTCTTTGTCAAAATAGTATTGATATAGCTTTCGTCCAAGAAACTAATTTGACCGATTCTGCTAAAAAAACTATAGAGATTTTCCCGTTTTCCGTTGATTTACCAATCAAATTTCACAAGTAAAAAGAAAAGGGGGGTGGCAATATTAATTTCAAAAACGTAAAATTTGAGCCTATCTTTGAGGAGAATGACGATTTTGATCTGTAAGATAAACGATCTGGTTTATACGTTGGTAAACATGTATAGTCCAAACCACTCTCAAATTCGATTTCTTCAAAAAATAATAAATAGAATAGATCAAATTGAATGAACTGCTTTGCTCGCCAGGATTAAATGCTGACAATTTAGTCAAACAGGCAAAGCAATTTATGGAACTTAACGATAATGGGGAAACTGCAATTTCATCAATATTCATATGTTTTATGCAAGGCCTTTTTATTAAACTTGGAACCTATCTGAAAAAAATGAATGGAAATCCCTATCAGATATATATATTTCTCTTATAGTACCTTAATTAAAAAGGGTGATAAATGTGGATTAAACCTCCCAGACGTAATAGAAATACACAATATTACATTGTTCAGGGATTTTGAGATTTCTATTGATCTGAGTTGGAAGTCAATGGAAGAACGATCCAGTCATAAAATATCTTTATTTAATCTAATATGGATTGACTCTAATTATTATACATTATTTAAATGTTAAAACAAAATCGTGAACAATGTGATTTTAGCCTTAAAAAATGTAAAAAAGAAATTGGGGATCTCCAATACACCATCTTTTCACACCTATAGATTTTATATAAAAGATATTGATCTATCAAAGTGGAAAAATTGTGGAATTCATAATTTATCTCAAATTGCCCCATTGGCGAAATGTAAATCGTTTTCTAAGTTAAAAACCCAATTTGGAATAATAGAAAATTAATTTTTTAATTATATAAGAATTCAACATCCAATTAAGCAGTTACAGATTACAAAGTATCATAACTTTGAAAATCTTGTCAATAAACATCATACGAATAAACTTATTTTTAAAGCCTCCCTAGCGTTAAGATGTTCAATAGACATAGATAAACCCCCATCAATAAATAAATGGGAAAGAGTCTTAAATAAAGTTTTTCCACTTAATGAATGAGGGGACTCCTTTACACAAGTTAAGAAGATTACCCATAGTTTGAGCCTACATGAAACCTTCTTCAAAATTTCTCATAGTTGGTATCTCACCCCGTACAGAATTAAGAAATTTAAACATAATTACTCAGATATGTTCTGGAGATGTTTAGGAGCGGTGGGAACATTATATCATTTGTGGTGGGACTGTAATGGTTTGGCTGGGATTAAGAAAAATATTGATATTTTCAAAGCCCTTAAAATACAGGGAGAATTATCTCCTCAAACTTTTCTCTCCCACTTGGAATTCCCTAAGTGTAGTTTTGAACACAAAGCATTTTTAACGCATATATTTATGGCAACTAAACTCATAATAGCCAGAAACTGGAAGCTGTCCTCTACGACTAAATGGTCAGATATAATAAGTCAGATAGTATGCTAGGGCACAATGGAGAAAGGATTCTATAGAATGGTAGAAAAGATTCCCACTTATAGAGCCATTTGGAGGTATTGGAATAAAATTTACCCTTCAAATATTGTCGATGCTTCATGAAATAAATAAATAAATATTATAATTTAATATTTGAAATTTGGCAAATCGGAAGTAGAATCTAAAATGGATATAGACAGGGCTTCTGAGCATTGAATTTATTCTATCATATTCTTAGCTTCTTAAACTCTCTCCGTCCAAAATGTGCTCATAGCCAAAGTTATGTTATGTCTACAAGTTTCACATGTTTCTCTGATTCAAATGATTGGTATGAATGTTGCGGTAAACTGATTATATTATGTATTATAATTGAGAGATAGTATAATAATTCCAATACAAAATGACCACAATCAGTCTACTTCTACTTTGTCTGACTATATATAATGAAATATAAAGGTCTGCAGATAAGGACTAAAGATTTTAGAAGTATAAATAAAGTTAAAGTTTTAAGCGTTAGAATAATAAGTGAACTCCTAAAGAGGTCATATTAAATAATAAAAATAAACTATGTAAACAAATGATGATATTAGTTTCTGCCCATTGATGAAAAACATAACACCTGTTGATAATAATGAGAGAACATATATCTGATGGGGGGAAAAAACATTCCCCCTTAGTGCATTTTACTTTCCCCCATCCCCTTTGTGTGTCTTCCTTACCCCGCCCTCTTCATGGGTTCCTTACGTCCCTCCAGACCCTTATGTGTCTCTTACTGCCCCCAGCCCCTTTGTGTGTTTTTTCCCCTCCCTAGCCCCTTTGTGTGTCATTGTCCCATTCCCTAGCTCCTCTGTGTGTGTCATTGTCCCTTTCCCCAGCCCTTCTGTGTGTCATTGTTCTCTTCCCCAGCCACTCTGTGTGTCATTGTCCCCTTTCCAAGTTCCACTGTATGTCATTGTCCCTTTGTGTGTCATTGTCCCCTTCCCCAATCCAACTGTGTGTGCCATCGTCTCCTTCACAGCACCTCTCCTTCACAGCACCTTGCTAGTGATCTTCTTATCCACTCACTGTTTGTGTCATTGTACCCATCTCCAGACCCTTTATGTGTGTCTTTATACACTTCCCCAGCCCCTCTCTGTGCCATTGTCTCTTTCCTAGTCCCTCTCTGTGTCATTGTCTACTTCCCCAGCCCTTCTTTGTATCATTGTCCCTTTCTCCAGCCCATCTGTGTGTTGCTGTCTCCTTCCCCAGCCCCTCTGTGTGCCGTCGTTCCCTTCTCAACCCCTCCCTTATGTAGTGTGACCGAGCAGACTGCAATAGTGGAGCTTGTGTTTCCTCTATCAGATTGACAGGAAGCTATTCGGTGCTTTCACCAAGCACTTCCTGTCAGACCGGGTAGAGATTATAGATCCTTTACAGTTGTGCAGTCCATTTGGCCAAGCTACATTAAGTGATGGGCAGGAGAGGAAGCACTGTGCGCTCTCCTTCGGCACTCACCCGGAGCATTGATAATTCGCCCCATGGACCAGTTCACCCTAAGGCAGCCCACTGTGCAGAATTATGGTAGTGCCAGCCCTGACCAAACTACTGCCAATCGTGCTTGGAGTGTTCCTTTTTTTTTGCATACTGAGATTATTCAGATTTACCTAGCATTGGACCATGTATATATATTTATATTTTTATAAAGTAACCTTTATATTTTCTTTTTCTTCCATATAATAGGATGTGTATTTATATATGTGTATTTAACCCAATTAATTATAATGGTATTACTAGTAGGATTAGTAGGATATATGTGATGTTTGTTACCATGGACATTTTTCATAAAGAGACATTTAGGCGATATGCCTTGGAGCCCATGTAACTTGATTGCAATTGGGACTATTGAAGCAGATACCACGCCCACATAGACGGGTATATGTTCTGAGAGACGGCAACCATTCGAACGTGATTTGAGGAAGCCGCCAAGGCGAAACGCGTCATCACGTTTTTTGGACGTACAACGTCATTACGTGTCAGTAGCACCTCCTACTCCCGGAAGCATCTATCCACTGAAAGACCGCAAGTGCATGCCGCGAGTCAGAAGGGGATTCGTACCAGCTTGGCTTTCCAGGGAGAAGGGTGATGACTCACTGTGAAATTTTATACCAATAAAGTCTTATTTTTATTTGGTGCCGTCCTGCTTGTTTTAAGCACATCTATCTACTATCCTACAGAATCCTGATGAGAGGATTTACACGCTTTTATAGTTAGAGCAGACTTTATTCTGCTCTACCATTGTGAGTGATATTCTTTTATTATTTCCTGGTTACATTTGTGATACAGAGTTACACTATATTGTGTTCTTTTGTCCCTCTATCTTATGTTTTTATGTGGAGCGTTTTAAAGAGATACTCCTTCAAGTGTCAACAGAGTCTAAATTTAAAGGAGTAAGTTCTCTGTTGTTTGTATTTCACAAACAGCACATATTCACAGGGTATTTACCACTGGATTATATTTATTTGCACTTTAATAATATATATATACTGTATTTGCACTTTATTCACTACAGTTGGACCATTATTGGTTTACATATTGTTCATATTGTTATATTAGCACTTAAAGGCACAGCGCACTTTTGTTCTTTTTTTGTATTCTATTTGAGTGGTTTTAGAGCTATTTCACTTTTATTAGTGCTTGCTAGCCTTTGTGAGTGATATATTTTTTTATTGATTTTATAGCGCCATTTTTACTTGATAGTTTTATACTTGGAGTGTTCCTTTAGTAATCAAACACAAAAAGGATTATAAAAGCCCATATTATTTGTCTGATTTGGGAGTTCTCCGACTTCTATAATGATATCCACACAGGTTTCTGAGGAAACTATTTTTGCTAACAGTAGTTTAACTGAGGTAAAAAATAATTAGTTTAAAAAATACATGAAAACTACAATTTTTTTTTAAAAAACTAGTTGATCGTTTACTTAAAATATATTTCATATAATTCATTTTCATTAGGGAATTACTGTGTACTTCACTCCATCAAAACATTTATTAACACACAATTGCTATCTATCTATCATCTATCTATCTATCTATCTGTCTGTCTGTCTATCAATCTATCTCTCTATCTCTCTGTCTATCATTTTTAATAAGTTGTTTTTTTCTCTGACTGCCAAGTATATTTAATTGCTTTGCGTACAATTCCCTCGGTGACTCTGTAGCGCTTAAATACATTGGGAATCTTCAGTTAAACATTAGAAAATGTCATCCAGATCATGTAAGACATACTCAGCCTGCTGATTTAACTGTGAGTATGTCTTTACATTCTTTTTATTTTTATTGATTTTTAAACACTAAAACAAAAGAAAATACGTGATTTCTATTCACTCAAATGTGTGTTGCGATAACATAACAATGAATCAGTATATAATATAAAATAAAAAAAAGCTGAAAATATTTCCAGCCTGTTGATTTTGGATATTTAATTGAATACCTATTGTAGTGGCAAATTTTATTAGGCATTTCTAGGTAACCTCAATTTACTGTCTGAATGGTCACACCTTTCTAATGGTGGGGTTGTTGGGCAAAATTCATATATTATTTAATTAACTATTTAGAAGTTACTAAACCTGTTCATGATTTCATTAGATGTATTAACGTTTTCTTTTCTTCTTCCAGTCTTGGGCCTCAAATTAATATTTCTGGATGAGCTTTTCAGATTGTCACAATCTGTTAGATCTATCTAAAAAATGTGTAGGCTTTAATGTTGGATTCTGTAGATAAAGCATTTGAAAGGTTTTATTTTATTTTTCCCAACAGATTGTGATAATTTAAAAAGCTTATCAAACATATTAAATTGAGACCCATATCTGTCCTGCAATAATTTATTAAATTCGGCTGTACTCTGTGTCTGTATTATGTATATGTTTGGTCTAATATGTACCAATCTTATGAAAAAAATAACATTTATTTTGTATAACGATAATAGCATTGTAGACCATACCTCCCCAGTGTCCCTATTTAGGAGGGATGGTCCCTAATGTGTCTGTCCCTCTTTTCTATCCTAATGTCCCTCTTTCCTGGGAGCTCCATATTTTTGGTGTGAATAACAGAGCTCCACAGCAATAACACTTACAGTAATGTGTAATTAAACTGCTAGAAATGTGTTTAGAAATTGGCCTTTATAAATAAGGTGCATGGCTCATCTTCATAATTAAATTTCAGATGCATAAATAGTTATTAATTAGGCACCTACAATTTCTCAGAAAACCCTGCCCATTGCCACCCATCATCCCAAACCCACACACACACACACATACACACACACGCAATAAAATTTAAGTGTCCCTCTTTGTCCATATGAAATGCTGGGAGGGATGCTCAAAACAGTACTAGATAAATTAGTTTTTGAATGTTTGAAAAACATTAGTGAATGAAAAAAGAAGGGTAGAATATGTTTTCAAACTTTAGTCACAATACGGGGCTTCCTGAAATTGCACCCTTAAATTACCATTTGATCACCTTTGTAACATGACCAAGTACCATCATTTCTTTACCTCTTTTTGTGTTCTTGACCCATGCTTTAACTATATTATAGTTATTGTTCACCCAGGAGGAATATCACTTCATAACACCACTTTCTTCAGGAGTGGAAGACTGGTAAGATTAACAAGGCCCGCATTGGCTACTATTGGTTACCATTATACTCTAGAAGACAAAACGTGTTATTTACTAGATTGTGAATAGTGGGGAGTTTAAAGTGAATACAAACAGGGTTATTCACTAAAATTAGAGTTTTTGTGAATTCAGACAGGATTATTTACTAAAGTGAGATCTGTCAGGAATTCAAAGTGAATTTTAAATTTAAGGCTGAACTGGAACTGTACCTAACTTGTAGAATTTTTCCAGCTTGGTGAGTTTGGTCTTAAATTGAAATTTATTTTAAATTGCCAACAATTCTGACATTAGTATGAGACCCTGCTAGTGATCTTAAAGTGAATTTCAAATTTAAGCAAAAATAACCAAACGTGTAAAAAAGTCTCCACATCTGCTTTTCTACCAGTCCAACTACTTTGATCTTTATTTTGGATTCCCAACAATTTTCACTTTAGTGAATAATTTAAAATTTTGACAAAATACTCAAAATGAAAACAGATCTGCCAGAAGGACATTTCCAAAACCACTATATTGGCCTAAAAGTAATTTAGAATTCACTTTAATTTTCCTGGCAAGTCACATTTTAGTAAATAACCCTTCTTGTATGGCTCCAAGATATCAAGTGTATTGATAAAGATAATCAATATTAATTTACTAGAGCAGGATTATCTGCTCTGGAAAATATTATGTTAAAGCAAACTCACTATATTTTGCTGTCTTTTGTTTAACTCTAGATGTAGTTATGATGACTTTTGAATAAGCTTTAACTTTTAAGTCTAATAATATGATTTAGTAATCTCTCAATAGACAACTCCAGGCACTACGACCAGTTTAATGAGATGAAATGTTTGTAGTAACTACATTGTCCCTTTAATTATTGATTTTAGAGAAATCTAGACATTCGCTAACAATACCGTTAACAATGTTTAAATGAAATTTGAATCACTATCATGTAAGATTAAGTTATATTTAAATGACAGATAACCTTTAATTAAACTAAAACATAACTGAGCTTATTTTTTTTCTTCTGTATCACTGAGAAAGCATTACTTAAAATGAAAACATAAAAATGCTTTTACAAAATAACAATATTTGCACTAGCAGTAGCCAAATATACACAAAATTGATAAATGCTCTTGATTTTTATTTTCTGACAGATAATGAAGCAAACCAAGATCACTTAAAATTTTAAATAGAGACTTAACTTTTGGACAGGGAGCAGAAGGAAATTTATTTGATTTGCAGTTTATAATGTAGAGAGGGCCCCCCTCTAGTTCAAGTATGGCAAAAGATAGATACCCCTGTTTTGTACAATTCCAATGATGCTATACCAGCTAGGGATCTACCATTTGTTCATTCTTGAAGGGTTGTACTTGTGAGCAGGGTTTGTGCGTTTAAATGTAAGCATGTTTTTGTATAGAGTATATGTGTACATGTGTGCATGTAGGGGTGTATTTGTATGTACTGTTGCCATTGGAATGCAGTCGTGTCCTTGTGTGTAGTGTTTGCTTTTGAATGCAGGGGTGTGTTTATATATAGTGTCGGGTTTTAACCCCTTAAGGACACATGACATGTGTGACATGTCATGATTCCCTTTTATTTCAGAAGTTTGGTCCTTAAGGGGTTAAATGCATACGTGCACACACTGATATACACAGATATACACTCACCCTGACACACAGAGGCAAACACTGATATACTACACTCTGATACACAGAAACACACACTGATATATACACACCCTGACACATACATACGCAATCTGTCATACAAAGACATATACACACATACATGTCATATTAATGTTTGCAGCCACCCTCCTGTTAAAATACCTTTTGTGTGCAGGAGGTTGGCTTGCTTTAAGCTTCCCCCACTGAATAAATGCTTTCCAATGTGGGCTTCCATATCGCCAAACTGAATTTTGTCAGTGCAGTTAAAGCACACTCTCCATATGACAACCACTAGAAGTGGACTGCAATTTTTGCATTACAGGGTTAAAAGTAAAGGGCCACTGCACCCAGAGCACTTAATTGATATTAAGTGCTCTGGCGACTATAGCGTTTCTTTAAAACCATGTTTTTAGAGCAGGGGATAAGTGGGGTGTTGTAAATTGCAGAATATAGGCCTGAAAGTGAAAATAGCAGTATGATTGAAAATATCTAGAACAAGAAAATACTTTTGGACTCCCAGAGGTGTAGTCTGATACTCACCTTCAAGACTTCTCTAGGGCAGCACTATTCCTGTGGAACGCCATTCTCTTTTAGATGATCACCCAGTCTCCACTCCTTAGAAAAATTATTAAAAACTCACTTTTTTCCCAAAAGCGTATCAATTAAACTGGTAATGTCTCCTAACGGATTTCTCTTTTGCAACTGTCTGCAAAAAAACAACAACACATTTAGTCTTCATTGAATACTATTCTACCAATC